AACGGCTCGTGCACTTGCGAGTATCACAAGTTGAGGATGCAGTTTAATCCATTTTGGTGCAGCTGGTATCTACGCAACAGTAAGCTGGATTAAACATTTGTAGAAAACTATGCTCATGTATGGTTTTGTACTACAGACACAAATTAATAAAAACCAAAGGCTTTTAACTTGTGTCTTCACCACATTTAAGTACAAGAGGATCATTGTCACAACAGCAATGCAAATGATAGGCGTTTTGAACTTTAACAACCAAAAAAAGATAGGCGTAGAGTATTGAAAAAATAAAAAGGAAAATGCTTTATTGATTAGATATAGGACTGCAAGACTTCATCCATTGACTTTATTAGATTTTCTGATATTCAAAACCCCAAACAACCTTATTCCTAGTATTAATATTTGAGGCAAATATTCAGAAAGTAATATGATTTGTGTTTATTGATTGTTAGGCTGGCGGATTGTGATGCACATTTACTCCCATCTTTCTTGTAGAATATGAGCAACTGTTGATTATAAAGGGAGAAAAGCATGTAATCTGATTCACATATTTCTTTCTTTCCATTTTTTATTCTATATAGTCATGTGTGACCTAAACCATCATTTGCAATATATTTGTTTTCCCATCATAATATTCTGTTCCCTGCAAGAGAATCAACACTTACGTAAATTTGTCCCGAAGAATAGCTGCTGCAATATACTCCTGCTAGAAACCTTTGTAAATATAGGAACCAAATGAAAAAGATACAGCACAAATTTTGCCTTACCTTAATAATGAACAGATGATGACCTAGAAGGTTTACACCCCATGCCAATGTGCTGGTACAAACCAATACCTATAATTTAATACATATGCCTAATCAGTATATCGATTAAGAAAATGATCCTTTTATATTCTCTTTTCCTAATGTGTTTTTCAGGAAAGACTCATGCTTACTGAGGTAAAACAGAAATGCCTGAATCTTGTTGTTTGCAAAAAGCTCCTCAACTAGAGATCTATCTTTGTCATTCAGACCGGCATGGTGTAATCCAATGCCAAACTGCAAGGTGTGCCTCAGGTTAAAGAACCATCTGCTGGGCTTCTTCTGGCATACTAAGAAACTGCCTTGGATGTTATTTGACGTTGCCAACTTCAATAACAGAAAAAGCACAAAAAAAAATCGATTCAACACAGGATCCAAAACCGAAGAAAAAAAAATCAGAGCTTGAGTTGAGAGAGAGTATTTGAATTTTGAAGATTGTACTGCGAGTGCAAGCTTCGTGTTCCTTTCTCTGTCTCTTCATTTCACCACCACATTCCTGTGCGAGTACAAGCTTCGTCTTTCTTCATTTGGAAAAAAAAAAAAAAAAGACGCCCAGACCCGCCCAGGCCGCCTAGGGGCAGCCTAGAACCGCCCAGGCCGCCTAGTGGCCGCCTAGAACCGCCCAGGCTGCCTAGGGGCCACCTAGAACTGCCCAGGCCGCCTAGATCCGCCTAGATCAACCCAGGCCGCCTAACTCCCTTATAGCATCAGAGTTGTTATCTTACTGGAGATTTCAATATCTGAATGACATTTGATGGTTTTCATAGAGAGAGTCCAGTCCAATCCAATCAACGCAGCAGCCGAAACGAAAGAAAAAAAATCGAAGCTTGAGTTGAGTGAGAGAGAGACTCAAGACCGAGTCTTTGAAGCTTGTAAGCGAAATGGCTGTGTGACTGCGAGTGCAAGCTTCAAGATTGTTTCGAATGAATTTAAAGAGCATAGCCGAGCGGCTATACCTTTAAAATTTTCGGATATATTCAAAGAGTGTCGCCGCACGGCTATACCTTTAAAATAATATATTTAAATAGTATAGCCGCTCGGCTATACGCTTTAAATATACAATTTTGTCATGTTATTTTAGGGTTTAGGGCTAAAATACCACTTTTGCTAATTAGGATAGAATTATTTATTTAATTATTTTATTTATACCAATGATATTGGGGAATGAGAATTTAAATTCTTTCAAATACCTCTACAACCCTGCTCTTCTGCTATGAGATATATCAGTTTGCGTTGTATTCTCTGCAAATGAAAAATTGGATACAAAACAATCTAATGAGACAACGAAGAAAAGAGTTTTGAAATAAATTTGAAGATTTACAACCAAATTCCATTAGGTTACGTGTCACATGTAAAATAAGATGCCTTATCCACAACACTTTAAGCTCTGCTTATTGCTCAAGTTTTGCCAATTGAAGTTGAAAACTTTGCATGCAACTTTGCATCTAGAAAAATGTGTGACCAATTTATTAATAAAAAAAAATTTAAAAAAAAACTCAAAAGCATTGTTAATCACCAGATCAAGTTTAACTCAAGCTTCTTACTATTCTCTACGGCAAAAAATTTAAATATGAAATATAAAAGAAAAGAACACACTCCAACAAAGAGATTACAGCAAACCAAATTGTCATGAACTTACGTCTGCTCTCTCTCTCTCTAGACCCTTCTCGTGGATATATGTACTATACCCATACGGTACCTGAAGAGCACATCAAAAGACAAAAATATTGAACAAGAGCAGTAATTAAAGATCAACACCGAGGTTAAAAAATGAGTAGCGGAAACTTTTGAAATGGGAGGATAACATCCATTACAAAGAGTGGCATCAAATCAACACCAAAGTTTGTCATTGTATCATTCTCCAACTTCCTTTCGGCAAATTCCTCTAGGAAGTTCTTTTGTATAATGTCGTTAAGTGTCACATTGGCAAAAATAAAAAGAAGATATTGAAGGTAGACAACAGAACTGAAGCAAACAATCTTGGTAAACTCTAAAAGCTATAACACTAATTAAGCACAAAAAATTAGCAAACACATATCATGCTGACAAACCTAAAATATATGCCTAACATTGAATGCATGATGGAAATTAAAGTTTGAATGGCCCCAAATTGATTTCCTAAATTCATATTTATAGATTAGTAATTTCATATTACCTGGATTTTTTTTTATTTCCAAAATCTAGAACCACAAATCCACTAATTGTTATACTCTGTAAAAGTGAGAATGCCAAACTCAATCTATAATAGATAATCGGTGAATAAATCATTCGTACAAAATCATAGCGGGTGACCAACCTATGTCTTAACCAGCCTAAATGGACCTTTGATTTCCAGAATAAATGGACCTCAAGTTACATTTGATCAAATAGGGTTAGTCTTTCAATTCAGAGATCCATAAGTAACTTCAATGAAGTACACAAATTACTCAAGGAAATAAGATGCAATTAAGTACACAAATTCTACAATACTCAAAGCATCAGATCAATCTTTTGCATTTTCTAGTATGTAAAACAAAAACATGATTTCTCTCTCTCTCTTTTCTCTTGTTTAATTAATTTTAATAATTTTATTTTAGATTTAAAATAGCTGTGACCATCTTTGTTTGCAAACTTTGTGCACAAAGTTCTACCTTTTAAAGTAAAACCTTGTGCAAAAAGTAAAACTTTGAGCACAAAGTCTACAAACAAAAATGATAACAGCAATTTCAAATCTAAAATATAAATATTAAAATTAGTTAAATAAAAAGAAGAGAGAAAATATAAAGAAAAAAGGGAGAAAAGTCATGGTTTTGAGAAGGTGTAATTTTAACTAACAAAAAGAAATATTAAGAGATTTACATGCCTAATTTGACATTCAAAAAAATCTCAACTAAAGTTCTTTTAAGAATACCCAACTTAGGAATTTCATAACTAGCCCAATTGGACTAAAACTTTACAAGCCCAAAGAGGGTGAAGGTATTTATATAGCTTGAAACACCTGAAGTTTATTCTTGCAGTTGATGTGGGACTCCAAGCAGAAATAGGACTGAACCTTCTCTCTCTACTCTTTTCTTGATTTCTACTTGGCTCCTTGTTGAAAAATAATGTCCATTTGTGTTCTACACAGTTTTTGAAGAATCATGAATACAAGGATGATTCTAGAGTTGTGGAGAACATACTATGTTGGCTAGACAAAGAGAGTTGAAGTTGGAAGAACTCTCTAGAGCAAGAACACTCATGTTGCTAGACTATGGCGGTGGAGCATGATGGCTTAACAATAGCCACAATAATAATATTGTATAATATAGAATATTCTAGATGAAGCCACACGTTTGTGATGTCAGTGGACTTGGTGATGTTGACAAAGAATGCTTATAAATAGGCATGCAATGCAACAAAGCAAAGTGGAGTCATCCACCAACTCCCAATCTATATGGAGGCAAAAGCTATTCAAATAAAGCTATGTTGAGGAGCCAATAAGCTCACCAATATAAGTAAAGGGCCAAATAGCTCAAACTATTCTAAATCAAGTGTGGTGGTCAATAAGCCAATAAGCCAATAAGCCAATAAGCTAAAAATGAGGCCAATTAGCCTACACTAAGCTATGCACTATTCTCCTCCAATCTAATAAAATCACTTTGATCAACTATTGTCCTATTATTCTAAACTCCTTCACACATAAACCAACAATGATATCAAAGCAACACACATCACACCTACTAAATTCTAACACTCCTCCATCACTCACCCCATAACAATATTGAATATTCTATAAAGAGCTAAATAACCAAACAAATTATGGAAGGTCTTGGTCCGCAGTCCACTGCTTCCTTCCCCCAAGTCCTAAGCAAAGGAATATTTCTATCGAGCTTACATTTGCCTCTTTCTCTATTCCCTCACAGCAAAACCTCCCAAACTCTCAAGTCTCTTATCAATGGCTTCTGCCACCATAACATTCCCAATCGTCATCACCACTGAGTCTCTAGACTCCCTCCTCTCCTCTCTCACCAAACTCTGATAAATCATTTCCAAGCTTCACTTCCCACAGTCAATTATCTGAAGAAGCCTTTGGTGACTAGCGGGTAACAACTTGCCATCTTCAAATTATGGATCGAGGTAAGTTTTATCAAACAAATTGTTCTAGGTGTTACTTTTATTATTTAAGTTTTTAGAGTTTTGCATTATTTTTTTCCTTCATATATGCTGGATAAAATTTTCTAATTTTCCATAGAATCTAATTGTGTGAGTGAGTCTTGTATTGTGCAGGTTGATACTGCAAAATCTGTGGTAGAACCTAGCCCTCCCGTTTGGTTTTGAAGGTGTTTTCTTTGCCTGCTTGTGGTCCTTAATTTCTATGTATGTATTTCATAAAACCGTCATCGACATTCCTCATTTTTGTCTTTCAGATTGGGCAGAGTTGCCTATTGACGTTTTGGGTTCAATTTTAGAGAGAGTGATATCAGTATCAGACTATTTGCAATTCAGTATGGTGTGTAAGTCATGGCATTGTATAGCTGAGGATAATACGCCGAGATATCATGATAGGTTGTCAAGTGTTCCAATGCTATTGATTCCTACTGGCAAAAATGGTATATGGAGGTTATATAATGTCATGGATGACAAGCTCCTTAGTCTGCAATTAGATATTTCAACCAAGCGATTTTGTGGGTCTTCAAAGGGATGGTTAATTGGCTTTCATGAGACTCAATAAAGATGTTAAACCGATGATTCCACGTTTTATACCACAAGACTTCTACATGAAGATATACCTCGTGAATTTAGATGAGAAAAAATTTCTTATGGTTAAAAGGTATATCGATCATGATTTTGATAAGTGTACGTGGATTGAGAAGAAAAGCTTGGGTGATTTTGCTCTCCTTTTGGGTGATAACACTTCAATAGCTGTGTTAATTTCAAATATTTCAGGATGTCAACAAGATTGCATATACTTCAACTATGATTTCGAGCGTATGATAGACCTCATGATTTTGGTGTGTATGACCTCAAAACTCGCACATTTAATTATCGGCCTTATAGCAAGTTTGTTATGAGCATGATGAAGAAAAGCTTTTGACCTCCAATCTGGTTTGTGCCGAATTTGCAAATGTAAAAAGCTTGTTCTATTTCTTTTTAGTTTATTTCTTCTTACTATGTAACTTCAAGCTTTCTAAGACAGTTATTTCTTTAAACATTTGATATTTAGTATATTTTTTTGCGTAATTGTGTTGATGAGTTCTGTGAATGGACACAGATATTATTGAAGTGTTCTAAAAAGGGTATTTAAATTAAATCTTACTGTGAACTTCAACTATTAATTTGGTGGGTCATAAGAATGTCCTACAAGGACTTCACCCGCCACCAACCAAGGATTTCACTATTCACACACTCTCAAATAGTTTTTTGTGTTTTTTTTGTGTTTTTTATTTGTGGACATCATTCTCAAATTGTTTTTAGATATATAGGCCCAAATTCCAATGGTAATACCTGCCAACTCAGATACCTCTCTCTACCTTTGACAATGTTAATTTATATATTTTACACTGACGTAAGATCACAAGTGGATCCGTGGCGCAATGGTAGCGCGTCTGACTCCAGATCGGGTTCAATTCCCCCACTTAATATTTTTTTGGTGGTTTTTTTTAATTTAAAACTCCCCTAACGATGTAACTCAAAAGAAAATAAAAAGAAGAATTAATATGTGAAACATGCCCTTGCGTGTTTGATCTGTAATTACTACTCTGGTCCTTCTCAACCACTGCATGAGTGATTAGGTAATTTTTGATGCATTGACTTAGCATGATGCATGGCATATGATCTGAGCAGATAGCTATCAAATGATAAGGGGTGACACTGATATGTTTTTGTAATGTTTCTGCAGATGTTGGTTTGTTTGATTCACCAAGTTGCATTAATTCTATTCTATGAAAACTGGTAGAAATTGGTTTCAATTACTTGATGTGAACTGGTGGGCATGACTAGGTTGAAGTTAAGACCCTCCTCCTGTTTAATTTAATATTAAACCTACTACATCACTTTCCCATAACCATTTGATCATGTTTAATGTGTTTTTTTATATAATACAAGTAATATTGAGCGAGGGAGAATTCAAATATTGGACGTCGGGTGCAAGAGCAATTGTTCTTAACATGTTTTAATTGAATGCCAGAGGGGACCATACTTGCCTAATGGAGCTGTTATTTCCTTGAACTACCATGCTAGTCAAAAATCATTTTTCTATCTAGCAAATAGATATTAGATAGTCTCTCACCTAATTTCTAGTTGTTTTATGATATCAATCGCAGAACTGTCTTATTATTAGTGAGGCTTTGGTGGAATCATTGCTTTTTTGGGTTCCACAATTGAAATTTAAAAATAAAAAATGAAGGTTCCTTTCGGTGGTTGGATGTAGTGAAGTTGAAGACCAGATACTAACTTCCCCAGTTATTTACGTTCTTCCATGCATGACAGTTAAGAGCTATCTGATGCAGGCTCGCAGAAATAAATTTGGTGAACTACAACCAAAAGCCTCTCACATTGTCACAATCAAATGAAGCCTCCGATGACTTTGGCTTCCTTTTTTTCCTATCTGTCCCTTTGTCATTTTTCCAATTAAAAGTGGATATTCTGTGTCTTTATTCCAGCTATAAACTTTAGTTACATTTTAATTATCTTCTTTGCGTAGAATCTATAAAGGCGGAGGTGTTCGGCAGTAGGGACTTGGATTTGGACAGAAGACTGTAACCTAGATCTTCATTTCTCCTTCAACATGTTCTGATTGTCTTTGTCCACTATTCATAACAGTTTTTATTATTTGTTTTGTTGTTTGTATAATGAGCAATACTAGCGAGCTAGTTGTGTATAAATATAAAGGCAGGCAACCCTTCTCTTTGATCAATACATAACAGTAGTAGTTTGTTGCATAACATCACTAGTATAACAATGAGAGAGGACGACATCTTTTGTTGTCAGACTGATTTCTGGGTGTTTATAGTCATATGTTTGGTGCTTGTGTCATTTGCTGGTATTGCATCAGGCCTTGCTTTAGGGCTCTTGTCCTTCAGCCAAGTTGATCTTGAGGTCCTCATCAAGTCTGGTCAGCCCCAAGACCAGAAAAATGCAGGTTGCTGCTACAGCTACTCGAATTTCGCTACATGTTCTGTAATTACTATCATTTTATAAGCCTAATAGCTATGTCTTTTTCTGTCCATTTCTTATAAATTTGCAGCAAAGATTCTGCCGCTTGTTAAGAATGAGCATCTACTTTTATGTACTCTCCTTATAGGCAAATCACTGGCAATGGAGGTATGCCGCTACGATATATATAAATTGTAAACTATATTTATGCAAGTTTGTATGTTCTGAAGCAAATTAAGTGATCTATTGTGTTCTTCTACAAGGCACTTCCCATTTTCCTGGACTCAATTCTCCCAGTTTGGGCTGCAATTCTTGTGTCAGTCACCCTTGTACTTGCATTTGCGGAGGTAAATTTGTTTTACCAGCAATGCACTTTGATTTTTGTTTTGCCTGAACTTGCAATTTGAGATCTTATTATTCTTTATACTTCCTTTTTTCTGTTAGATCATTCCTCAAGCTGTATGTTCTCGATATGGACTAAGTCTTGGTGCAAAAATGTCTCACTTGGTACGGTTGCTTATGGTGGTCTTCTTCCCTCTATCATACCCTTTCAGTAAGGTAATACATGTTCAATCTATGGACCTTAGAGATACCATGTTCAATATATGTACCTTAGAGATTAAGACTTATTTGTATTTTGGAATTTTGACCATGCCAGCTGTTGGATTGCCTCCTTGGCAAAGGGCATTCGGCACTCTTAAGACGAGCAGAACTGAAAACATTGGTGGATCTGCATGCCAATGAGGTGAGGTTTCCTCTGTCTTCTTACTCTGTTGGTTCATGACAGTGTCAAAGTCTAAATTGTGTGATCATGTTCATCACTAGGCAGGGAAAGGTGGAGAGTTGTCGCATCATGAGACTACAATTATTTGTGGTGCTCTAGATCTTACTCTGAAGACTGCTGAAGATGCAATGACTCCCATATCTGAAACTTTTTCCCTTGACATAAACTCCAAACTTGACATGTACGTCCGTTCATCAACCGAATCTGTACATACTATTTACTTCTGGTTTCTATGTGACCTTTATATGTACATCCTTACCTTAGGCATACACTTGGTTTGATAATGAGCAAAGGCCACAGCCGCATACCTATATATTCTGGAAGCCGAACAAACATTATTGGCCTCATTCTGGTAAGCAACTCAGCAACTTTAATTTGTTTATTAGTCAGTTCATCCGCACAGTTGATCTTCATATTGATTGATTTGCTCCTAAGGTCTGGGTGGAAGAATTGGGGCTTGTATATAATAAGTCTTTGAACAAGTCCCTCTTCTTTATTTTCCTTGTTTCCATAAAAAGTTCCAGGTTTCATTGTTTACTATTTCCTTATCTAAATTAAGCAACCTTTTTGGTCTCATGTATCGACTACTTGTTTCTCTTTTGGAATATATATATATATATATATTTATATTAGGCAAAGAATTTGATCTTCAGCCGGCCGGAAGATGAAACCCCAATAAAATACTTGACTATCAGGAGAATTCCAAGGTAGGTATGCGTGCTCCCTTATGGCATCTCTGCAATTGTCTTGACATGTTTTTCTAGCATTGTTGTTTTTCTCTATAGGGGCATAACTCTGTCCATAATCTGTAACAGGGTTTATGACAGTTGGCCTTTATATGATATACTGCATCAGTTCCAGAAAGGTCATAGTCATATGGTTGCTGTGGTGAAGAGTAAGAAGGATGTTAATGGAGAAAAGGAGAACAAGGATTGCAAGCCTAGCTTTCTAGAGACACAGACTAATTCAAGGTTACATTCAACACTAGCAGAGAGTAAAGGTAATGTTACATTACCAAAAATCAAGTTTTAAGGCAAACTGTTGTAGGCTCATAGCATTCAGGGTTTTTTGTACTTGATATTACAGGTTTAAATTCTCGAAATGATCAGAATTATCGTCTGAGTTTCTCCATGGACACATCCCCTCTATATTCTACTGAAACTGAATACTGTACTCCGACGTCAAAGCATGTCATGGAGCAAGACGAAGAATCACAGACACAAAGTAATAGACATAAGCAAGGAAAAGGTAGAAATACATCATCTGGAAATTTAGAATCTCTTCAAAGTAGCATGGATGAGGAGGTAATTGGTATCATAACAATGGAGGATGTTATGGAGGAACTGCTACAGGTATCAAGTTATAGTGACCAAGTTACTTGTGAAAAATTCAATTTGATCCATCAGTTTGAGATAACCATTTTCCCTAAACCCTATACCATTTCCATTTATGAAAATTAAGCTAATTACTCCTTTTATTCTGTCTTGCAGGAAGATATACTGGATGAAACAGATAATTATGTCGATGTCCACAACAAGTGAGCAGTGCCCGAATTTTATTTTTTATGTTTCTCTTCTCTGTAAACTTCAAAGTCAACACTTTCAGTGTATATATATAATATATTTTATATTAACAAATAATTACTTTGTTTCTGTTTGTTCCAGAATCAAAATCAACCTGCTACCATATTCAAGAAGATCATCACCCTCAAAATCTCCAAGAAAATCTGCATCTCATATTTATTGGAGAACTCCAGAGCCATCTCCACTATCTTCATACAGCACTCCCATACTCCGATCACCCACTTCCCCATACATTCAACCTCCCATCTTCATAAGACCTCGTCTGTATGCTTCCCCTGCAAAATCAATACTAGGTACTTCTCCAACTGGATCTGCAGGCCCTCTTTGCAGCTCACCGTCCTCACATCGAGTATGTATTTGCATATATGGCTAAACTTTATGTTAATTAACTAAGCATAAGTAGGATTAGCAGCATATAATATGATAATTTGTTAATATGTTATGGAAGTGTTTCAACTGGAGCTAGCTATACACATTACAACATATGTGGTATATACAGTTTGCTATAGCTTTTACTTTTGTTACCGACATGCATCTCGCTTATGTCGAAGTTTGGATCTTGACAGGCCTCAAGAAAGTCGAATGAGAAGCTTTCCGGTGACCATATAGCTTCGACTCACTGAGTTAAGTTAACGGACGTTACCACTGTTTTGATTAGATTGAGTGGAAGGACACCATTACAATAATATCTTGAATTGCAGCATGTCACTCAATTTACAATAAGACTAGAGGTACCAACTCTTTGTATATATGTATAGCTTGTCTTGTAAGTTGTATTCCTTTCCAATGTTCAAAATAGGGAGGGATGAAAGTTGAAACTGTTGAAGAATACATAGAGTCCACTCCTAATAACATCGAGGTCTTTTGTATAAAATCACACACCTGCTAAACAGGTGGTTAAGTTAGGGACAATATCGATGTTACTAGTAATGGGTCAAGGGTCCGTCCCTCTAAAATTTTAATATGGTATTAGAGCGGGTGGGCCCGATTAAACCCAAATCAAACAAAATCCCCAATTTGAATCAAAATCAAACAAACCCCAAATATGGCTCATTAAAAAGTGGTCCCATTTCCTATCAACATTTTTATTACGTACTAGTATTTCTACCATTGTAGAGGTTCTTTATTACACACCCTCTGATGGGGAGAAACTTACCTATATCCCATGTTTAATGCACATTTCTTTTTATCTCATCACACTCTCGTCCCATTATGTGATGAGAGATAGAGAGAACAAAGTATGAAACATGTGACAATAAAGTTTTACTCCCCTATGATGACTGGTGAGTTAGTGATGACATGGATCAGGACCTCCAGGAATCAATCGCTTTGACTCATTCTAACTTTTGCTTATCTTTTCACTTGTGTGCTTTGACTTGATCATGTTCCGCAATTTGTTTGTTTTTTCATTTCCTGATCGAATATCATATACTTGCTTACAATTTTCGACCAATGTGGGAATCGACCGGGTTATTAAGACCCTCCTCTCCTTTATCCCTGAGAGTAGTCAAACCTTAAAGTTGAAAAGAAAAACAACATTAACAATGCAGTAAGAAAAACCCTCAAACTAGACATTGATCTCTCTCCTGCTAAGAACAGAAAGTCGATAGTCTTGTAGCTAAAGACTGGAAGCTAGGAGGAAGAACCATACTAGTAGTACTATATATAGCAATCAGAAAGTCATATTTTATCCTTGTATCATTGGTGGGAGGGACCCACATGCATGACCCTCACAAATTGATCTCCTTTTCTTGCAAGTGCTTCTTTATGTAATCTGGCATATACAACCACAGACGACGCATTTTCAGAGATTTATTTCCGAGTTTTCATGGACCATGCATCTGCATGCATATATAACAGAGATCATTTGCTAATTAACTTTGGGTTTTTGATTAATTTCCAATACCTTATCAAGACAAGTTAGGTATAGGTCATCAAATTGTTTTATTCTGCTCTTTTCATTTCATTTAGTAGTTACACGCCGCCATTGACATTATTCATGAGTGCTCCGTGTATGCATAGATCGCAAACCTAATAATTAAGTAGGTAAAAATTTATTCACCGTTTAGAGTACAGCAATTCATCTCATCCATTCTCTATATTGGATTGACCTAATTACAAGTAGGTCAAGTTTGTTTGGTTCCTTTCCCGCTCTGTTATTGCACATGCTCATAACTTTCAATCTTACTTGTCTTACCTACATTATATGTTTTTTTTTGGTCAATAGTGATAAACTTTCCAGGCAAGTTTAGTGGAAGCCAAGATACATCAAATGAAACCAGAAGTTCGTACCCTAAAGGACATATCTAAAAGCCCCCGAGACTTAAAAACCTATATTATATGTCTTTGCTTTCATAATAATTTTTTTTTAGCACAAGCAATTGGGGAAGGGGAGCATTTTTGCTCACCACTTTAACTATAGGTGTACCCTCACCACCATCCTCAATGTTTGACACGTGTCCATAGGTATAATCATGATTCCATAAATACAAAGCAAAAGTTAACTATGGTTATGCCTATGGACACATGTCAAGCATTGAGGATGGCGGTGAGAGTACACCTATAGTTAAAGTGGTGAGCAAAAATGCACCCATTGGGGAAGGGTGCTTTACACAAATATTCATTAGGTACTTGAGGATTCCGAACCCGCATTAACCTTTCAGAATTTTTGATACATATAATATTATTTTGACACATGTGATATCATGATTACAAGTCTGCCTAGCCCACAGAAAAGGGAAAAGTAACAGGCAGGGCCAAGCCCACAAAAAAGAATTTTCCATCTCTAGATAACTTAAGTTTACCCCCAGGCCCACCCTCTCACCCCTTATAAAGTCCTCATTCAAGCCCAATTTAGAATTGTTTGCTGTGCAATTATAAGATAGGCCCTCACGAATAACCCACGACGAGAAATGGTACAAATATCTTACGAGACTCGGACATTACGCCACCACCTTTCGTTTTTCTTGGATAAGGTTTATAGGCGTAAGACCATACAAATAGATGATGGTACAATGAAAACAAAAAATAAAAAAACTTAGCCTAAAAAGCTATGAAAACTCTGGTTTTTTCCCCACAACCATCTCTCTATCTTGCTTCAAAGTGTTCTCCATGGAACCCCAAAAGCCTGACCTTCAACCCCACAACCTTGCAAAACCAAAAACACACCAAAAGAACATATAAAATGCATGCCAATGCAAAGGGCTTTGGCAGTGCACCAGCCTCCACTAAAGAAAAGCCTACAAACCAAAACTCCAACAAAAATGATCAGGATGGCGATGAGGAAATTCCACAGGCCGTTTTCGAGAGGATGCTGGTGAGAATTGTGGCCTCCGTGGGTCTGCCGATGGCCATGGGCTTTGCATTTTTGAACGTTTTTGAAGTGATTAAGGAGAAGCACTTGTGGGACGTGCCACTTTGGCTCCCATTCTTGACAACGTTGTTGACTTTTGGGTCGTCAACTCTTGGGATCGCATATGGAGCTTTGTCTACAAGTTGGGATGCAGAGAAGAAGGGTTCGATTCTTGGTTTTGAAGAAGCTCAAAGCAATTGGGTTGAGATGTGGAGTGAGGAAGATGAGAGCAATAGTGAAAAAAATGATGGGTGAATTTTGGACTATGTAAAGTTACAATTTTACCATAGCTTCAAGCACCTTTAGTTAGCGTTCTTTCCCTCTTTATATATGTGGCATTGTGATGAATTACACATAATTTTTACCCTTTTTACGGTTCTATTGTGGTATTCTAATTATTCTAATATAAAGTGAAGAAAATCAAACTCGGATATAAGAAGACAGACACACTACTTTGACTAGCCTAACCTGCATATGACTAATTGAATAATACCATGAATGAATTGCTTCATATATGTTGAGGTTGTGGTTGACCTGCACAGTATTTCATGAAAAAGATTAAAGCATTAGGTTAAAAGTATAAATCCCATAAAGTTCTCAGCTAGATTTAATTACTATAATAGCTTGATGTCACTCCGAGTTGTAATATTAAATAAATAAGGTGTTTTAGATCTGATGTCGTAAAGATTGATGTAATCTACATCTTGATTCTTGATCATATCGTTAGCGGCGGGTTACAAAATTATAAATGGTTGTATAGTTATTATTTTAAAATTAACATAACGACAGTTGATCTGCTCTAACTCTAATTATATACATTTGTTTTTTAATTTTATTTTTATGTGGTGCTAAAGCTCTAAGCAAATTGATTACACGTCAAGCTAATCTAGAAAGTAAAGTAAGATTATTGTATCACACAAAATAAAATGGTAAATTAGTGCCGACTTTGATCATAGCTAAACAAAACTAAAGTGCAATTACATGATGGAAGCATTTACGGATCGGAACGACCACGTTTTCATTCCTACGTTGATGTGGTAGAAATCCTTTAATATAATAATTAAGTGGCATTATCAATTTTTTAACAAGAAGCCTAATGAGATACGTCTACTTAGTGGAGAATGTTAACGATCCCGTTGCCAAATAAGACATTTGGTATTTAATTGATTAGCGGATCGGTCTTGTTACTTAAAGCTCAAAATCAAAAGCTACACCTTTTTGTCGTTTTCTTTGAACTAATTCACAGCTATTTTATTGTATATTTGTATGTGAGTCATGGAAACTATATAATAACCCAAGATTCTTAAATATTTAATTTTAAAGTATATAGTTGAAATAGACATCGGTCGGTTTGCATTTCTTCCCTTAGAGCACCTTCACCCTAAAGGACAAGTGTAAGGCAACTGCAAGGCAAGGTTTGTCACTATTCATATGAATAGTGATAGTCATTGCTTTTTTTGTTTCCACCCCAAAGGGTAAGGGTAAGGGTAAGGGTAAGGGCAATTATTATTCATTTTAATTTATTCTCGATTTTTTATTCTTAAACCATTAATTTTGGCGTGTGAAGTGCAAAAATATAACTAGGTATTTATATATATATATATATAATTTTTGAAAATTTTGGTTTTTTCTTCTTTTTTTTTTTGTTGTTGACGTCATTAATGACATCAGCAAGCCCAGTCAAGATTTGCCTTTGAGGCTGCCCAAGCATGTGGACCCCATCAAATGCATGATCTTGATGTTGCGAGATGGAGCCATATGCTGGGCCTAGGCCCCCTCCTGCTCGGGCAAAAGAGCAGTGCTGGAGGTGCTCCTACTAATCCTCCTTTCTACCATTTATTATCACATTCACTCGTTATCAGATCATTCATTTTTCATATGTTAGAGTATTAATGAATTACCAAAGAGGAAATTTTCAAATTCTTTTGGTGGTATACGATGTATACGTATTAGGCACGTGAAATATAATACATATGCTCTACTCTTACGATCACACCATTACGTAATTCTTGCAAGTATCATTTGACATACTGCAAAACCTCTCCTCAACCTAGAAATGTATTTATTTTGTTTGGTTAAAGATTAAGAATCACCAATTGTTCAGTGTATGTGTATCAAGGGCTGATATTTTTGGCATTCTCTCTCTTGCATGCCATATATGATATGAAGTGAAAGGAAACTCTGAACAAATTCTTCACTAACTCACAAAAATATTAAGCTCTAGATTTCCAAGAGTTCAAAATCAATGCTAAAATATTATTCTGAAGCTGTAGTAGCACATAGCTAATTCATCCATTAATTATCCCATATCAAAGTGTAATAACAAAAACAGACTCGTACATGAAAGAGGCCTCCAGGATATTTTATGGTTTTTTGGTTAGACCTCTGAGAAAAGTTTACTTTCTTCTGGATGATTGCAAACCAACGACACGCCAACAATATAAATAAATAACACTCCACTGTACATAAACGACTTGTCTTCTTCTTGAACACCATCTTCCCAATTCTTAAAAAAATTGTCAAAATCAGCAAATGACACAAGAATTGGGATCCTCTTCTTGGCTTCTTACGTAATAGCATGCAGGCATGGGAGGATAATGAGCCTGGTAGGCCTTTATAAGCTCAGCCATTTCGTCCTTTGGATCTTTCTTCTTCTCATCTGGCTTCTTTGGCTCCTCTTTCTTGGGCTCCTCCTTCTTCTTCTCCTCTTTTGCTGGCCCAACTGACAATATCTCTGTGTGGCAAAGCTTCCTCAGTTTGCTCACCAAATGTACTGGATCTATGTCCCCTGTAACTGTCAGTTTCTTGTCCTTCATATCCATGGAAATTGAATCGAGCCCTGAAACAATTTGCCAGCCACAAGATTAATTCACCACTATAAAAGAAAATCAGAGTAATATGCTGAAGAAGAAATTAAACCAATTGAAGATGCCTGCCTACCTTCAAGCCCTGAGACTGCCCTCATGGCTTTCTTCTTAGCCTTCTCGTCGTACAATTCCAATTTCAACACTACTTTCTGTCATGAAACAAGATAGATACTATTAGATTCCAAAAATTATAATCAGAAAAAATTAGTGAGATATAAGTAAATTAAAAGCAAACCCATCAATCTTCGAACTTAGAAATTCAAAGAAAACTAATCAGAATTCAAAACCCAGTGACAATTTAGTGTCAAAGAAAGAAAACAAATTTTGGTTTACCAAAAGATACTATCTTTATTTATGTATAAAAAAGGTAGTGAATCAACTGATGACAGAAAGGATCCCATTCTTGTAAAGTTGTCTGAAAAAAGAAAAGGTTGGAGCAGAGTAAAAATGCTAACCTTCATTTCTATGGAGTTTGAGAGATCTGAACAAGGAGTTTAGTTAAGAGAGATTCAAATTTGAGCAGAAGCCAAGAAAACAAAGAGAGAGAGAGAGAGAGAGATTTGTAGTAATTAAGAGGAAGAGAGACGTTTAGAGTGAGTGTCTTGGTGAAGTGAAGGGAACCTTGGGACTCTAATTTATAGTGGAACGAAAGCGAAGGGAAGGGGAAAAGAGATGACACCAGCACAAGGAAGGAAGGAACTGAGTCAACCCGATTCTAGTCAAGAAGTCTACGGTCAATAAAATCATGTGCAATTTTGGCTGCTAGAGGAAAACTAGCAATAATGGAAGAGTGAACAAACGTTGTTTTCAGTGATTTCCCACTGCCAAACGACACCGTGTAAGTAGATAATTTCTCTCTATCCATATACCTTTTTGAAATTTCAATGAATTTTCCAGAAGCATTTTTTTCCAATCAATCATAAAGTTTATTTTCTGCGTCTTCCAGGAAAGCAACCAATATTCTAAGTCTTTGCCGTTACATGAACATTTTGGTAGGTACACGACTCTGGTGGCGGTGGGTCGTCGTCGTCGTCCTCAAGTTACCCCCCCAGCCAGCCAACCCGTCCTGCAGAGTCCCCACCTCTCTTTATTAGGAGAGGCCTACGATTTCCACGCGTTTATATAATTAGATCCTGTGTCAAATGAGAAATTGTAGAAAAATACTTGTGAAGAAGACTACACTGTTCTCCTACTATGGTACGGATGTGTGAATGGTCTATTATTTTATTATCATTTTTCCTTCTAATTTGGCTGGTGTCACATATGTATATATTATAGTTTTAAATCATAATATAAAATATTGATTAATTTAATGGTAATGTCACATGGGTTCAAAGTATAGTGTCTGCTAATAGCCCATATCTTTTGCTGTGATTCCACTTATGCATGCAAGCAAACTAGTATATCCTCTATTTTTTCTTTTTAGAATATAGATTCTCTTCACACACTGAGTGCATTTACCAAAGCCAGTAACATGCATGAAACTGTTATCTGATTATAATATTATTTTCCTTCTAGTTAAATTTTGACAGAACTAATTAACACTTTGAAGCAAAATTCTCAACATGTTTAATAGATACCGAGATTCAAACTTAAAACTTCTTCTAACATTTTTTTCGTCCAATAGGGTTTAGGGTTTTGTAAATTGTAATTGAAAATCAATACCGATAAATAGGGTTGGGCTGATTTTTATTTTTAGGGTGTGGGCTTCGCTGTTATTTTTTTTAAAATTCTTAAAGTTTGGTCCACATGGATCTGTTACGAGACAAATTTGTGTTGAATTAATAGATAATGAACCAAACTTGATTTAATAAAGACAAAAAAGGAAGAAATATCATGTAAAATGTAGCATCTGGTAGTGCCCAATTTGAAGAATCTTCTCAGGCTCAGGGTGCTCTTTAACTATCATCAATGTGGCCACTCACTATAATTACACTTAAAAGAGAATTGAAATTTGGACCATAGATTTTTCCGTCCCAGTACCATGAACTTGGGCCCTTTGAGAAAAACTAATATCAAAATCAAATCAAACCTCTTCTCTTGTCCTCTTCACTTACCCATCTCCCTCTCTCACGAGTCACAACCGACTCTCCCCATCCAGCTCTACCGTTGGTTGGTTGGTCAAAATCCAAATTGAGAGATGATGTATACTAATACTAGTTACTGGTCCACAAAACTCCACCATTACCAACATCACTCAACTCTATTGGATGGTGGATGGATGAGAACAAAATTCCAGCCTCTTCAATTCGTCACTTGAAATTTGGCATTTATTTTGTTGCTTTTAGTTTCTTCTATCTATCCATCTTACATTAATTTTTGCTAATTTGCCTTTTCATTTCATCAATTCTCGTGATGAATTCAAACTCAATCAAATTATGGAACGTGTTTCCTTCTCTTCTTCGATTGTCATTTAGTTATATTCCTTAATTGGATCACTCAACTTTAGACATTGGGGTCATGTATTAGTTTGCTCACTCTAATCATATTGCTTTCGACCAAAAATAAAAAAAATCTAATCATATTGCCCTACTTGGAACAGTCATAATCATTTTCTTAATGCTTGACTTGACTCTAATCCATTTGCATTAAAGTCTAGAAAGATAAAATGTGACAAAACCAATTTTAACCTTCTTTTGTTGCTCTAGGCTAACATGCTTTCCCTTTAGGTGAAAAAATAAAAGAAGCTTAGCTTGGGATGACAGTGACTTTACAATCTAATCAAAGCCCAACTCCGAATTAAGCAGAATCAAGAGCCGAAAATTCAAAATTATTACCATAAAAAGAAAAAACGAATCCAACGACTCTCCGTCCATCCGACTTTGTAGCTTACACGTGACGAGTTGCTATTGGCCTTCTTCCCACCCACCAAAATCTCCGCCGCATCGAACAATCCCCAGGTCCTATATAAAAGTTCCGCCGCCTGCAAATGAGTCGCAGCTTATCGCTCTTGCAAAATCCCGAACCCGACTATTCGGAATTTATGGTATCCAAAAGCCCGAATCCGCCAGAGGGCTTGTACTTGGATCCGAGCGGAATGGCGTTACCCGGGCTCGGGCCATTCGGCTCAGTCACTACCTCAGCGACGACGACGACGTCAACGACGTCGTCTTTGGAGGATCTGAGTAAGAAGATTCGGAAGCCGTACACTATCACCAAGTCCAGAGAGAGCTGGAGCGAACCCGAGCACGACAAGTTCCTGGAAGCCCTCCAGCTGTAAATTTCATTTCTCTTAATTCTCCACTTCTGTATGTTTGTGTGTATAAATATGGGGAGCTACTGTTTTAGTTTCGAATTGAGATTTGAAATGTGGGAAAAGAGGCGATATAGTTTCTGTTTGTGTTTTCAAAAATTTAAGGGTTTGTTTGGTTGGTGAGAAACTTTAGGAAAGAAAGAAAAAGAGAAGTTTCAGAAATGTGGAAAAAGAGTAGGATTTTAGTGGTAATTCATTTTCTCGTCACCAATTTGTGTTATTGTTTGTTATGATGCTGATGTTATTTTAGTTTAGGCTATTTTTCATACATTTTTGTGTTTTTCCCTAATTTTGTTTATGTTCCCTCTGTTGCATTCAGCTTTGACCGTGATTGGAAAAAGATTGAAGCATTCATTGGGTCAAAGACAGTTATACAGGTTAGCTTTCAAAGGACAGTTCTTGTTTGGTCTACTTAATATCTTCAATTAGTTAGTTCATTATATAGTTTCCAATGCGAAGAGAAAGATATGCTTTAGTGACTATCACCAATTAATCTTTTATCCGCAAGTTTATATATATCAGACAATAATGAACACCATTACCCATAAGAAGGATTGTTTTTGCAGATACGTAGTCATGCACAGAAGTATTTTCTGAAGGTTCAAAAGAACGGGACAAGCGAACATCTACCTCCCCCTAGGCCAAAAAGGAAAGCTGCTCACCCATATCCTCAAAAAGCTTCTAAAAATGGTGAGCATAGTTCAATTTCTTTATCCAATTTTTCACAGTACAATGTTTTACAGCCACACTCATATGTGGTTTGTTTGCCAGCTCTGGCGCTTCCACAAGTGTCTGGGTCATGTCAGTCTTCATCTGCTTTACATGAATCTGGGTTTATTCAAAGGCCAGATTCAGCGTCAATGCTTATGAGTCCCGTTCCTTGCACTGTAGTCCCTTCCTGGACTGATGGTTCCATGCAAACAGCCAACCTATCACATGAGTCCAAAGGTGTGGCTACTAAATAAATTAAATCTCCATAACAATGACCTGATCTCATTGTACATTAATGTTATCGTTTGCAAACTTGATTTAGTAGCATTTGCTTGCAAACTTGATTTAGTTTCATTTGCTTTCCGTGCGGTATGTTTTTTCAGGGCCAACTGTGCTGAATAACAGTTGCAGTAGCACAGAAAGCACTCCAAAAGCTCAACCAGTTGATGGAACAACTGATCTAATGATTCGTAGCCATGCATTGAGAGGTGAGGTGACAATCTTCCTATTTGCAGTTTTTCCCTCCTGGACAAGTATTTTCACCTAAGTGGTTATAATAGTTTAATATTGGATTTGAAATTTTTTACACCTTGAAGTGGAATAAATTTGCGACAAAAACATGGAATTTCATTCTTGTATATGGACATGAGTTTTATGTTTCAACATGTATTTGGGTGCTCAATGTATCAAACTTTTATGATATAATCACAGCTATATGTACGTATCTTGCATTTCTTCTATCATGAACAGCAAAAACGTTCACCTATTTCACTGCCATCTTGATCTTGATTTCCATATGAATCAGTGATAGGGCTATGTGTCACACATGAGTACTTTTACGACTTATTTAATTATTTTTTCTTTAGATAAATCTTTGCATCACATGGTATATCAGAGCTGGACCCGTTAAAAAAATCTGGAGTTATATAAGCACGATACACTTGTAGCTTTTGGATTTATATGTCTACCTGTGTTGTCTCCTTCCATTACTCCTTCATTGTTTGTGTCCTTAGAGATTACAAATTTATAGCTAGAAATGGTGTTTCCTGTGAATGTAACACCTATTTGTTTCCTTTGTTTTATGCAGTTCTTCCTGACTTTTCTCAAGTATACAGCTTCATCGGCAGTGTCTTTGACCCTAATGTTACAGGTCATTTGCAGAAATTGAAGAAGATGGATCCAATAGATGTTGACACGGTATTTCTTTTCTCCTTTCTAATCTCATGTATTATATGTTTAGGTTTTGACCGTAGCGTATATAATTTGTTTGTTATCTAACCTTCCAACGGTCGGTGAGGAAGTCACTGCGTAGTTTTGTGCATTATAACTGCTTCAATAAATGTTTACAACTCAACAAATTTTCTAGTTGGAATAGTTGCATGAATCAACGTAGACTTGAAAATGGCGTAGTTGTGATGTTATTCTATTTTGTGGCTCTTCTCCAGGTGTTACTGTTGATGAGAAATCTGTCCATCAATTTGAGCAGTCCTGATTTCGAGGATCATGTAAGTTTCCATTTCACTGAGCTTTGATTTTATTCTAGCTTTGCTTGCACCACGGGAGGAAGAAAGATATATAAAAAGTTACTTTGTTTAGTTCTCTTAATACCGAGTATGTTGCTGAATTTTTTAATTGGATGCAGAGAAAGTTGCTTTCATCCTACAAAATTGACGCAGATACAGAAAGTCATGGTGATGCAACTAAAAGCCTTTGTGACGACGATCAACACAAGAAAGTTGCTTAAGTAGTAGTTCATGAAGTCAGAAGCTTTTTCTCATCCCCCTGTTGGCAGTGCTTACATTTCGAATCTAATCGGTGCACAACTGGTGTTGACATCCAGCCAACGAATTGCCAGGGAAAAAAGGGCTCATTAGCATTAAGCGTCCGGTTGCATCTGGGTGTTAACTCCTACACTAGGTTGTAAGTCACACAGCATGTCCATGCATTTGGCATCTCCGTGTGGTGTATATATGAAGACAAAAGTAATGCATTTTACGGGAGTGTACAGGTGTTCAAAGTTATGTTAATGCTATTCTGTACAGCGCTGGGTTCCTGTGTATCCAAGTTTTTTAATCACTAGTTGCGGGTTATGTGAATTTTTTTTTGGTTCAAGTGGGTTATGTGATTTTGGTGCTGTATTCGCGTGCCTTTTTTCTGTATGTGATGATTTGGGCTTTCCTATGCTGTTGCGATCACCACATCTTTTTCCATAGGTTTAGAAGCCAGTACGACATAAGAATCAACAAACAAAGCCAGCCAGAGGAGAACGTAAAGAAAAAGAAAACAATATGAAGTTCCATAAGCTTCTATCTTCTGCTTTTCTTTTGTTGCCTTTTTCTGTTGTCGTTGCTTTCCTTGTATAGAGTCTCATATACCAGTAGAAACTATTGGTCAAACTACTTAAGGCCTAGAACATTCCTCCTAAAAGTGAAGAACAAATATTTACAATTGAATCATCTGCATCTACAGATTGGTAAATTCCATGTCTAGTTGATGTTAATTTGTGTCCACGCTTACGATGACATCCAGAAACGCTCCATTAGCCATACTGTTTCCAAAGGTAAAAGCGCCTGCTTTGCATCGCGCTCAGTGCCACCTACAAGCGTAAAAGCCTGTCCCTGCATAGCAATAGACACCACAAACAATGGAAACATTTACTATTACGCGATGACCGCATTCCTGAAGTATTATCACAGACTGAAGCTAAAATCAAATTTGTCACTTATTACCAAATTAACGGAGTTTCCCACATTTTACCTGGATTTGGCATTTCAAAACATCCATGATTTGACGACTGGTAGTTCAATGGAAAATTTTGAATTGGGCCCAACTCCTGCATGTAACGAGATTGATCACTGGGAAGAGGAGCCATTGCACTTATTGGAGACCCAAATATTTGGTGAGGAAGAATTCCTGGAATGAGCATCGCCTGCTGCAGTTGCTGAAATGGTTTGGCATGAGAGTGATGGAAAGTACTCGCGGGGACTAGGTTTGTAGCCGAAGGATGGTGGGATGGCTTGCGACAATTGTAGTTTGAGGTTATGGGTTTCATTTGAGAACGCTTATGAGCTTGAATTGGTTGAGAATCTAGTGGATGAAACTGTTTTGGTTGTGCTTGATGAAACTGTGCAGGACTTTTGCATGCATTTTGTTCAGAACCTTCTGAGCTCAGTTGAGTAGATCTTTCATTTTTGAAAATATTCAAGCCCGTTAGCTTCCTACAAGTATCAACTGGTGAAATTGAGCTTACCCTATCAGCTTTGACTGGAATTCCTTCAACCACAAGCATGGTGTTATCTTCCTTGTCGGGCGTAAATCTGAAGTCATCCACTGTAATTAAGCTGTCCTCATCAGGCAACAGAAGTTCAATGGGAAGACTGTCTTTTCCATTAAAGCAGCTGTCAGGATTGAGTTTCAACCCTGGGTCAATTTCAACACCCGATCTGAATGTTGCTACGAAATCATCAGAGACTAACAGATTTTCCTTGCTCTTACTTTGATCAACAGAGCTAGAGGACATGCTGTCTTCACAATCGAACCCAATGAGTCCATATTCATTAGTTGTTGAAGGAAAGACATAGTTATCTACAATAGGTTGTTGAATGAAAAAAGATGCATCAGTTGATTGCAATCTCTTTCTGGAACCTGTACAATACGATGGTTCTCGGGTGAGGTCCTTTGACACTCCATGAGCCATAGATTCAGATCCTTCACAGCAAGAAGAGATGCCACAGGTAGGCTTTGTCTCTGGAGAATGGCGAAAAATGTTAGCTTCTTCTCTCCATATTTTAACCGCTAGATTTAGCAAGTTACAATTCAATCAGAGATCATAAGGTTCCAGTTGAAAGCACAAAATATTAAGCTACTACAGAACAACCAGCATTTGCTACCCTACCTGTAACAGGAAAGTGATGAGCAAATTTAGAACAGCAAATTTCAGGGCTCTTGGTGTGGTTTGCAGTAGGATCAGACCACTGTGGGCATGACAAGAAAAAGGGTGTGAGACAGAATTGGACATTAGGTAGTAGGCCTTTCAATCCCTTAAAAAAAGGGAAAAAGAAAAGAAAATTGATGAGCACATTTAGACCAATAATTTGGTTAAAGATGACCCATTACCTCTGGTATGAGGGAATTGGTTAAGGATTTTGTTTCAATATTCTCAACTGAAGCAGGGGATATTACATGTTCTTCACATTTGTTTCTCTGACTATATGCAGAATCCTCCAGAAGCATGACAAATTTGGAATTTTCCTCATGCACATTTGGATTTTTCTTTTGCTTCTCTTGGATCGCTGTTTCGTGTCCTTCCGTAATCACCTCAAACAAATCTGATGGGGACAGTAATTCACATTTGCATTAGGAGCAGACTTCTTCAGCCATCAATCTTAAGTAGTAAACCAAATAGGAAAGAAAGCACTACATAAAGTTCTGTATTTCTAAATGCAATAGCACAAGAAGGGGATCATATATACCTCTTCTCGCGTTCTCCTCCTCTTCTTCCTTCTCACTCAGACACTCAGAAGAACCAAATGTCTCATCTTTACACAAATCCCAGGGGCTCTTACCTGAATGATTCTCTGCCTGAAAGAATATAAATTGGAACTTTTAAGCGTATTTCTTTGGCTAAAGCTTCTAAATCCACGCCCATAATTGTAGGACCAAAAAGGCTAATGAGCATTACTTAATTACAGACATCATATGTGTACTGTGAAGTGGAATTGGAAAGTATCAACCAGACCTTAGAGAGGAACCGAGGCCTAAATGGTTCTTTGCTCCTATGGAGTAGGGGAGGACTGTTGTCTTGAAACTTGGGAGCAGAAGCCCCAGAAATCAGTCCATATGCTCCCAGTACCGCATCATTTCCCAGAAGTCCAACAGATAATGAGTTTTGCAACAAACATCTAGGTAAGGTGCCATGCCATCTTTCACAATCTGTTTAGTTATATGCATGAAAATATAGACAGAATCAAAATGCAATAGTATTCTCAAAAGATCGAGAAAAATAGAGCACGGAATCGGAAAGGTTAAGGACAGTGTTAGGAAAAACATAAATGCACACACCTGATGCACGAGAAGATTGTGAAGAAACATGAGACTCAAGTTCACTGTTCCAGAACAATCATCAAATTGAAAACGTAAGACCACAAAGCTATAGTTAAAAGCAGAAACTTTCCAAAACTCCTTGGATACGTCCTCAATCTGTAAACTACCAGGCATCAAGTGTTTTACCTTAAAATTGACGGTTTGATCCCAACCGGTAATCGCTTGCCTGCATCCAAATGTTCTAAAGAGAACATAAAATCCCTTGTATATGCAATCCTTGAATGTCTGAATAAAAAAAAACCAAAAACCAACTTTCAGCTAATTAGGCAGCAATAATTAGCAGTTGGTATAATTAAACGACATGTAACAAAGGTTTAGGTGTTTTAGTGATTTTTTAAAGTAAAAGAGAAAAAATCACAAAAATACTCTTGGCGGCAACAAACTTTCAGCTAATTTTCTATTCCCTTGCTCCATTTTCTTGGCAACCAAACGAGAGAAGTAATAGGAAAATGTAGTTTTATTTTTGCCTACAGCATAACATAAAGAGTATTATATTGAATATTATATAATATATTACTGAGATCAGCTTAAAAGATTAGAATAATACAAATGCATAAAAAGAGAGATAAGATTACTTGGCGACTTCTTGTGTATTCGATTCAGAGTGTGCTAGTAAACTCTGTTCCTCACTTTCCGAGCTCATTTTCCCGGGAAAATCCGACATTGTAACAAGTCACTTCAAAATGAACTACAGATGTTCTCTGCTTTTCAGAAACCTTGAAGATCAAGACCTTCACTCTACAAAAAATTTAGTTTCTTTGTGCAGACAGGAAGCAAGAAAAGCAGCAAGATTCTACATGTTCAAGATGTTTTTGGATCTTGACGGGAAAATAGGTAGGGTTTACATGAATGCTTGTTTGGAGGAAAAGAAAGTGTGAGAAAATGAAATGGAGGTGTGAAATGCTTAAGAGAGAAGGAGGTGGTAACCACTACCGTGTTTATGTAGCCTCTGGAGAGCTATAGCCTAGCGAGGAATTATTCATACAAATAATTTTGTGGAGAAAATCCGCTGTGGATACACATAGTTACAATATCGACCAGTATCTGCCACGTCGGAAGAAAACGCCGAACTTATGCGTTCCGCAATTGGAAGTTTGACTTTTCATGATATGGCAACCCTCCATTGGTTAGGTCCTTGTGGAGGAATTGCAGCACCCAAACGTCCTTGGTGCAAATCCAGTTTTGCCCGTCTCCTAATTTTTTTTTTTAAAGAAAAGAAAAATGTGAGTGCTTGAGGCAAAATTATTAGAATGTAGAAGACAATAATTGATGTGAATTTTATTTTCTAATTTAACATTAAGTCTAAGAAAAATCATATTTTCCAATTCGGTTTATGAAATAAATTCAATGAAAATTTTCATTGCCGGCCAAACTATAACATATTCGATTTGTTTTGTGAAATCTTATTGACAGAATGTGATATTATTTTTCGCTATCATTTGAAGAAGAAAAAAATGGTCCTTGGCGCCACATACCTTAAAGAAAACTAATTGTTATGACAAACATTCTCGCAAAATAGAAATACATTATGGCTTTTGGGAACTTTGGTAGTCATTAGTAAGTTTGCTCGATGATATAACTTTTATTCATTTTTGTGTATTTAATATTTTAAGAGATGGAAAGATTTTTTGGTTGATATTTCTCAGCTCCAAGTTAGCATCGAAGGGAGGGTTTTCTTTCTTTTTCTTGTTTCCTTAATTAGGTTGGTATCAACTATCACGGCATTGCCATTTTCGGAAACTCGGTTGGTATTTTGCACATATCCATAAAAAAAGCAACGCTGAAAAAGGCCTCTCTGGAGAAAGGGACAGAATTTGCAGAAGGAAATGTAAATTCTGCTGCAATGGACAGGCAAATTTATTCTGATTCATATGCAGCAGTCAGCGCATTGAGGAAACGTGAGCCCGAAGCAAAGCACTCCAGGGCCTTGCCTATCCAGTTCATGCCCAAAACCAGTCTACAAGATCAGCGCAGAACATGGCCCAACTAAAATAAAACCAGAACACCTT